TGTGTAAATTTAATACACTTCATCTTCAGCATGTTTAGTGCCACTTTTGTAAGTAACCACGCCCCCCGTCCAGGCCACGCCCCTTCCGCTTTTTTCATCACTCGCCATTGCCATGTATGAACGACTGACTTGCAGGTTATAAATCTGAAATGGTCTGATCTTTGTAGACTGCGTACACAGGGAACGATATATTGGAGGACGGTTAACTACTGTTTTACACAGCGTATTCATTTAACTCTTTGAATCATTTTCCAAAAGGAGGGTAATGTGGCGTCAAGTCAGTTTCCTTACTTTTTTTTTGAGCTCCACGCTGATGGCATTGGCCTCCTTCAGGTAGACGGCATTCCCCCACAACTGGTCACGGAGCGATGTGAACTGGTGGAACCTCCACTTCCTGAAGGCCCATTGAGCCAGGTTGAACTCGTGCTGAGTCCACGGCACTGTGGAACGCCAGGAGATAATGCATTTCTTAACATGGGTGGGCCAGGAAGTCCCGAGAATACATCTGGTGGAACGTTTTTTATTCAATTGTCAGGTCCCACGAGTCAAGTGTCAAGAAAAAGATTCTTTGTAATGCAGTCAGGGATCAGTCTCCCCATCCATGCATCCGATTTGTAAACCGCCTGTCCTCAATAAAGTCAGGAGTGTGCTGGAGCCTATCCCAGTGACATTTGGTTGAGAGGCGGGGTACCACCTGAACTGGTCTGCAGTCAAACGCAGGGTACATATACAGTAGATCAGATGTGGACAGACTTTTTCGTTTGAGGGCCACATTCAAAAAAAAAAAAAAATGGAGGGGCCACTTTAAAAATTCCTTCAACTTGAATGTATTAAACACGCTAAAATCAGTGATGCAAGCAGTTAAAAAATTGTTCAGTTATCATTTTGGAAAACTGTTACATAACAGCTTTCTGTGAACGATGAAAAGGCAAATTATTGAGGATTTTTTTTTTTAATTTGTTATGGAAAATAGACAAACACAATGTTATCATGTTTCAAAGTTTCATTTCGTTACATGCTTGATTGACCTCGAACGCGTGTGTTTATACAGCTGGTACACAATGGAGCACAGAGAATCAGGGGTCACTTTGAGGTGAATGGAGCCAAGGCGCTTGTTAACTGATAAGTTAGGAAGAAAGATTCAACTTTGGGCGGATAGGGACGACAGAATACGCTCCAGCATAATAAAATGTCCTTGAGCAAAAGTTACAGATGTATCAGTTCATGGGAAGATGTTGGTGCTTGTACCAGGGAAGTGTCTTGGCCTCCAGATGTCCACTGAGGGGCGTTTCATTGGGGCCGGCCGAGGGGCGTGTTATGTAAATGAAGAATGGGAATGTTTTTCTGACATGTCACTTGTAATTTGCATAAACTGTCAATAAAGGCCAGCAGGAGCTGCGAGAGTTCAGGTTTTCGGTTTGAGAAGCGAGCACGAGTTAGTGCGGCTTCAAGAATTATACCTCCTGCCTGGCAGTGAAAGACAATCTGTTCCTGGTTGAGTCTCTGTTCAACTGTCCAAGTGAGCATCGCTGACAATTTGGTAGTGGCCATATTTCTCACTTGAGTCGGTCCATCCCTGTACTGAACGGTTGCATTATGTGTTCGTAAATTAGACTTTGTTTCGGCGTAAATAGTTGATTGGCATCTTTGCATATTTAGATAAGCTGTATGCTATGCGAACCTATTTATTCATAATAGTGGCACCTATTTTTTTCTTGCTCTGGCCCACCAAAACTTTTTGTTTATTCACTCGCCTTGTGGGCCGTGTCAAATGTCATGTTTAGTTTACGCCCCGATGAATTCACAGATGATGTGCGATTTGCAAGCGTTTAGGAATCAATGGTCCCAGTACAAACCTTCCTCTTCCTCCTCCTCCTCGAGCTCTTCCTCATCGGGTGTTTCAGCAATGAGAGAACGAGTCTCAACCTGTTTCTGTAGTTCCTGTAGTTTGCTCTCATATACCTGGACAGCCACAGTGAAGAGGGAAAAGCACATAGACAAATTTGGATAAGCTGCATAACCAGTGGAGCGTATATAGCAGTTGTAACTACAGCTAAATGGCGTATTAGCGATTAAAAAAATGTTTTTTTTTAACAGTTGTATGCTTGGGGAACAATGTCTGGAGGAGATGCGAGGTCCTGTAGAAGCACAAGTCTGCTGTAGTCCAATGAGGGGCGCCATCTTCATCATCGTCGTCATCATCATTATGAGAGCTACACTGCCTCCAGTCCTGGTGACCTCATCGTCTTTGTTCAGTGTCTTGAGGGAAGACAATGCAGCCTTTTCATTTGTATTTGACCTCCGCCCTGCTGACATCCTACCAACAAATCGCATATTCGAGCGCAGTCCAACATTCGCTAAACAGCTTATTTGAAAAAGAGCCAGCCGGTGAAACATTGCCTTGAGTAATCAACGCAGTGGTGTATTATTTTACATCTTCAATAATAATAATAGTAAAAATGATGATTATGCAGATGCTGATGTAACGCTTGCTATACAATGAGAGGTGACATAAATTAACTGTGATCTGACTGTGTCTTCTATCATGTTGCAACTAAATTGGGGGCATGCTTCGCAGTCGCTCTTATCTGACAGTTGAACGGGACAACAAAATACGGCAGCCTGTCATCAACGCCACTCGCCATTCCCTTCATGTGTTTTCCAAGAATTAAGACTTTCTTTTCATTTTTCGCCTCCGTGTAAAAGATTTTTCTCATGCTGAACATAGTGTACCGTATGTAGCCTGTGACGGTGAGCCGACGTCATAAGTTGCAGAGGCTGTAAATCGATGCCTGCCTGTGACATCCACTCACGAGTGCGGCATTATCAATGACAGATGCATTGTAATGTGGGGAGCCAATTTTGGTTTTTTGTTTTTTTTTTTGGTTGTCAAGATTGGTTGTCATGCTGACCTGCCATTTATCAGAAAAGCTCGTGCTGGGAGCGCATCAATTTATTACAGTCATAAACCTCCGACAACACAAGATGTCAATACAGTATATTCTTTTCAACCCTGTGAACAATATGGTTTCCAATAGGTACGGACATTGTCACAAATTACTTGAACACACGTTTGTGCACGATCACCATGAGGCACTTTGATTATGCAAATGCAACAGCAGATTTACACCAGACGCTTTGAAATAACACTTCACACAAACATACATGGACAGTATATTTCAAAGGACAGTACGCTGTACAGTGGATTTAGCATACTGTACTTTCCAGCTTAACCTGGCTGCAATGTGCACCAATGCAAACATTAAATAAGCAATCTTTGACGACACATGTATGGGCGATTCAAGGTGTTGCATGTGAAAGATAGTCAACGCAGGTCAGGTTACATGTGTGGCATAAGCATTTGTTATATCCTTCAGCTTTCTCATTACAGCGTAGGTAAGTAAAAACAAGAAAATGTAAAAACAGTATTAGTCAAAGTCTCCCATTATACAGAGTGTGTTCGATTTTTCCTGAAGGATATTAAGGCCATAGTTATTAAAACTCATTCAGTACCAGCCAATTCTAGACCAAGTCTGAAAAGACGTTTAAAAACGTCTTTGGGAGTGAATGAGTTAAAAGAAAATACTTAAGGTTCGGGTTTAAGGCATAAATGCATTGAGAGGCAGACTCGCTGCTAATAAAAGAGGCACTCGTTAAAACAGTGGCGGAGCCTTCAGAGAGAAACTAAAGGTTGGTTTATAGGCTGTGTCATCCGTTGACGCATGTTCAAGATTATCTTCCCTCCAACATCTTAAGGCAGGTCTTTGGGAACAACGACAACATCCACCCAACAGAATTTAAATCAAGCAGCATACTAAGGATATAGAAATATAGCTATGTCGTATAACAGCTGTAAAACATAATGACCGTAAATGAGAAATGAAAAGGCCAACGTTTCTAAATTCTACTTTCATTGAACACTTTTTCTGGGCACTGAAGAGTGCATTGAGCTATTCTATCGTCATTATTAAAACACAGAAAAAAATGCACCACGTATTCAAACTGAGGTTCAAAGGTATTCACAACAGAGTCAAACGGTCGCGTCCAATCCTAATACTCAGTTCTATGGTTGACGGGAAGAAATGAATTTCTTTTCCAAAGTGTGTGCACGACAGCAACGCGTCTGTGTGTTCATACTGAGTGAGCTAAAAAAAATGAAATTAAATAAAAGCAACAAGTAAAAGGCAAATATGTAAACAATTGAAATCAACCAAGATACATTTGGCAAATAAAAAGGTGATTGAATTGTCACACCGGCTGAAAAAAAAAAATGAACAGTGAGCATGGCATGGGTATTGTGATAAAAACTGCATAATGCACGGTCATATGCCAAGGATACAATTTCATTTTTATAATACATACACTTTTGGATCAACCAACGACATTCTTTTTATGCTCAGTTGTGATCTGTAATGTTTTTTGTTGTTGATTTTTTTTTTTTTTTTGCCTGCTAAAAACGTTTGGGTTCAATTTCTAAACCGCGGTCTCTCTGCTGGCTTTCAGATTGGGGGCAGACATTTGCCTGCGGATGCGGGGAGGTGCCTGAAAGTTGAGTGGCTGGTTAGCATGGTCGGGCTGATGGTACTGCTGGTAGGTATGGAAGCCTGCATCCACATACATTGTGCTATTATAGTGGCACGGCTGTTGGAGGTGGGGCTGGGCGTACGAAGGCTGGTTCTGATAGTGGCGGGGCTGGTAGAAGGCCTGCGTGTGCCTCCGGTTGGCTTCAGGCTGCTGCAGGTGCTCCGTGGAACCTGAAGCCCGCTGGCGAAGGTTAAATGAGTTGCTGCGGCCTCGGTCCAGGGGCTGTTGATGGTAGTTGTTCCTATAGTTGGGTCTCTGACCCTGGTTTATTCCCTGCTCAAAGTGTTTGTTTCGGCGCTGGACCGATGGACTCGGCAACGAGGGAGTGACTTCTACGACGGAAGCGGCTATCTTTTCCTGAGACTGTACGACGGCATCCTGGTTTTCAGCATCCTCTTCCTCGACAGCTTCTTTTGGCACTTTTAGCTCAATCACCTTCTCGTCTGTAATAATGATATGCGTGCCGGGGCTCCAGGAGTTGCGGTGTTTCGGGTTACTTTTGAAGGGGAAACGTAATTTGCGATCTTCTGGGGGAATAAATCGGTGGGGTCCGGTGTGCCGGCGGAGCTGCTTGGAGATCTCTTGTTGTTGGAGGCTCTTAAGGCGGAGCTGCTCTTGACGTATCCAACGTGCGTGGCCTCGTTTTAGGCTCGAGTCATCTCCTGCGCTTAGGCCCGCTTGGGACTCCCCGTTCTCCGCGTCGGATGTTTCAGGCGCAGGCGGGTGAGGGCTCGGGGTACTTGCTATGCTAGGAGGAGGGTCTGTATTGGGAGGTGTCTCCTGACCCTCGGGGGTGATGAGTGGAAGGACCTTTTCCATTTTCACCATCTTGTTCCTGAGAGCACGGATCTCCTCATCTTTCATGTTGTTCTGTTTCTTGACCTCCTGCAAGATGTCCTCCAGCTTATCAATGTGCACCTTTAGCTCATCCATGACAACGCCACCGGCTCGAGGACCGTTGGTGATGACATCCTCAATACGCTCATCACCTACTCCGACGGTGTCCCAAACATCCCGAGCCACCGCCCTCCACGAGTCCCGCTCATTGGGGTCCTTCTTGCTGTAGCTTGCGCAAAGCTCCTTCATCTTCACGATGGCCAGCGCTTCGATTTCCTGACGCGTGTGGCGGAAATCATTGAGTGCTACTTCGTAGCAGATTTCTTTGACCGCCTGGATCTTCAAGTCTGAGATGGTCACCCACTTGGAGTCCTTGGTGATGCGGCGCCGCTGAGGGATCTGGTACATTTTTACTGGCTCTCTTCTCTTACCGCTACTGGGTAATCCACACTTTTTCACTATGGTTTGTAGTTTGCTGGGGGGCAGCTTTTCCCTCAAGGAGGTGATCAGTCTCCAACTCTCCTCGCAAGACCTCTTATCTGAGTCATCCCCACTATCAGAGTCGCCATCCTTGAGAGAACAACACAGGAAACAAACCAAATGGTCCCCAACCCCCCAAAAAAAGGAGAAATTACAATGGGAAATCAAAGAAAGGATGAAGGATGCTTTTAAAATAAAGATGAATACAAATGTATGAATATGCAACATGGGAACCTCAAATGGCGGTACTTTATCTAAGGACATTTTCAATATCAGATTTTGGTGGGCAGACTAATGCAGCCAAACAATGTTATCGAAATATTTTGCATACATCGTAACTTCAACAGATGTATAGCAACGTGCACCAAATCATTCCCAGCGTACAATGAAATTATATTTAGAATAAAAACAAGTAAACCGTGGCTTCCATTGACTTTCTTGTGTTTTTAAATGTGTCTTTTTTTTTCCAATCCTCTGTTGAAAAGATGGAAAATTTGAAACGAAAAAACGTCCATGAATTGGAACATTCAATTGATGTGCTCTCAATCTGAAACAATATTGCTCACAACGTTGCATATTGATATTAAAAGTAAAAATTGATTATGCTTGTCACGATAAGCAAAGAAATCTCAACAGCGGACAGAAGCTGCCGAATGAAGCTGATCTGTAGCGTTTTGTCAAATTCCTCTTCAGGACTGAAGATGGGTCCCACACGAGTTACTTGTGGCAGGAATACATGCACGTTCTTGGATTTGGAAGCTCTCCCCCGGTCAGCCCGCAGGGTTTGAATGTCTTAAGTATTAGCTGAGAGTTAGAGGAGTGCGTTCTTGCAGTTGATCAGAAAGCCAGAAGAGAGAGAACAGGCTTGGTGAAGGTTAAGTGTTAATTCGCTATAAGAAAGGTTAGTTGGAAAAGAAATGCAGTTTCTCATTTAGTTCGACAAAAAAAAAAAAAAAAAACATTACAGATCACAACCAGTAAGTGTAGTGTCTTTGGTCTTGCTGAACACAGAGTCTGCGAACAGCTCAACTGCACTAAAAATGTTCTGTCGCTGGGAGTTTGGACCATAAAACCTGTTGCTCTGAGATAATGCTGTAGGTTTTATTCACTCTGAATTAATGAATGGAAGCAGTGATAACATGAGTGAGGTGGCCCCCTCACTGAGCTAACGCCAGCGTCATACTCACAAGCACAGTTGGTCAAAGAAGTCAATGAGAAACCACATTGTCACTGCCAAAAACTACTCAGAGAGTTTTTGCTATCACAATGCAGTGTACATGTCAGCAACTGCATTGAGGAGATGAAAATTAAAAGCAAGAAATCTAGTCTAGCCAAAGCAAATTTATAGCCACCTAATAGTCAAATAGCCCAATAGTGAACCCCACAACTGACTCCATAGCCAGCCATGAATGAGTTAAGAACACATGCACTTAATGTGAACCATGCAAAACCAGCCTCCATTTATACAAAATGATTCTGTTCTGACAATGTCCTTATTTTTTTAATCATCAAAATTTGACATGCCAAAAAACTAGGGATGGCCATGATGATTATTTGATGCGCTGATTGTGAAGAATTTGGTGGACTCATTGGTGAGAATTGATTTCTTAGCACAACTGAGGGAAAACGGAGTCCACGCATTTGCTACAACCAGCAGAGGCGCTCGAACTCTGAACGGAGAACACGACGTAAGCTATAGAAAGCAGAGCAAGATTCACGCAGACCTGCGCAATATCACTGCGCAATGAAACACTCACACAGCACTCAAGATCCCATAAAAAAATCTAACAAAAAAACAACACTTGATTAACCCTTCATCGATGATTACTTTCAGTCAACCAATGAAATTTGGTTAAAAATGCCCATCCCTACTTAGTGCCTGCTGTTTTGCAAGGTTCAAAGTAACTACAGAACATCGACGAGAAGTGACAAAGAGGTTTTGGAAATAGGAGAAAGCTTCGCAATCCAACTCAATCCTTCAAATTGCGAGAGACCATCAGCTGAAAGCTCACCTGCTTCAAAACAAAATTTCCATGCAAGAAAAATAGACATGCACTGGTGCACACACACGCACGCACACACATAGCTCAGCATGAGAATTAGTAGTTGGCAATTGAAATGGGCCAAACAACTCCAAACTCTTGCATAAAAATGACAAGATTGCACTATCACTCAGAAAACTGCCTTTAGCTACGACAACTGGTACACGGAAAGCATCCTAGATATGGTTCAACCGATTCAGCAATCACTTGCTGCAATTGTATACCAACAAGCAATGTATACAACAAGTTTGTAGGAAGACCAACTGCTTTGAACTCACCAGTCTCTGCTGTTCAAGAAGTTGGTCAGCTTCTTCCTTCTCCTTTTTGTATAGGATTTCCATTTCGGTCAGCCTACCCAAAAAGAGCATCAGCTTTGAAAAATACAAGTTATCGTTACCGTTCGTGGTTTGAATGTCAATTTAATTTAAAGCATCACCTTTTCTCCATCTCCTGCTTCATGTCAATACCCTGTTTCTCCAGAAGCTCTCTCTGAGCGAAGGTCCAGTCCACTGGCTCCACAGGGGTTTCAGCCGACGGCGTTTTCTCCCTTTCCGCCCTGGCTTGCTCGGGGTGGTTGAAGCGGAACACGTGGTTCTTTCCCATAATGATACGGTTTCCTGAAAGAGAGCAGTGATTTAGTTCTTCCTCTCCTTTGTTTTATTTTAAATTGGGACTGGTCTTTTTAAGTGAACATACCTGAACGCAGCTGAATGGAGTCCTCAACTCGCTTGCCATTGACGTAAGTCTCTGATCCCTCACAGGGCACAAGCATGACGATAACTTCAGCAGAAACACACCAAGTAATTATTACAAACTCATTTGGGATTGTCTTTGTGCAAAGTCCATATATATGCGTCCATTCTATCCATAGACAATAGTGTTGATTTTGCAGGTAATTGGCATCTGCTTTTAAATCTGACTATGAGATAGGAAGGGATTATCAGTGAGTAAAACATTATTCAACGGAACAAACTACACAAAAACATGGGGTTTTACCATCTCCATTGGCATTCCTCTCACTGCGGAAAATACAGTGCTCCTCCTTGATATGAGCACCACTCAAAACAATATCCTGCCTTCTTTCAGCGTCAGCCTGTCCCACCCTGAAACCATTACAGAGGCCAATTTTATTCTCTTGCATTGCAAAGAAAGGCATTTCTGTTTAAATGGGACCTTCTGACATCTGTTCATTAGGATTCCTACATTTGATTAATCTGCATGAATGTGTTTTTTTTTTTGTTTTTTTTATTGGCAATTGCTGATTTCAAATTCACTTCACCAAGGCTAAAGTGCAGAAAGACACACAAGAATGGCAAATCTATTCATTGGCATTTGAGAGTGTGAGTAAGCCCTCTAGCTTGGTGAATTAGAAAGAGGAAAGATGAAACGAGCAACATGTTGCACACATTTTATGGAACACTGGCTAAAGTAGTCAGCAATATGCATGTATGATGGCTGCCCTTGATTTTAGATTTGGGAAGTATTGCTAAGTTTTCGACAGCATTTCAAATTCATGTATGCTGTTTATTTTACCTTGTAATTCCATCTTTGATATAGTAGAGTAGACACTCTGACATGAGGGGATCCTCGTTCAGGTTAACCAGGTGAGGAGTCTATCGCAAAAACATGACAGGGAGACAGTTAACTATGATGCAGTATTATAACAACATCCATCCATCCATTATCCGAACCATTTATCCTCACAAAAATGTAAATCGGGCACATTAGGTGGGCACAGTTTTCCACCACACATTGCTTATAAAAATGAATATTTCAAACACATTTTCTGACTGTCTGATTAATCTGTGCTAGCACAACACAGTCCTCTGTAAAACAACCAACCTTCTTTGGGGAGAAGACCCCATTAAAGTCTGTATAGAGATCACAAGGCTTCTCATTGAAATGCTAACCAATGGAGCAGCAGTGAATGAGAGAGAGAAAAAAAAGAATGAAAACAAATGAATGTGAACAAAAATGGGAAAACAAAGAATTCCAGTTAACTGCACAGGATGACTCTTTTAACTCTGACTTTTGTGCACAAGTAGCAAAAGCAGGTAAGAGTTAAGTCAGTACGAGGGCTTTTCCACGACACAGTTCTGGTGAAACTCCGTTCGACTCGCCTCGAGTTGAGCTGGCCGGTTTTCCACTTCAAAATAGTTCTGCTGGGAAACTGGAAAAACCTGGCCACACTCACGTCAAGTACAAAGGAGTACAACCGTTCATAATGCGGCTACTGGCATGAGTAGGGAGACAAATTTGATTTGAGGAAAGACTTGGGGGAAAAAAAAAACACTGCAGAAAAGTGGAGACTGCAGTGAGGAGTGGAATATAATCTATATCCAGACCTAAGGCACAGTAGCAGGTTAAGCTATGGGTGTTTCATTTCATATTATTTTTATTGCTAGCCACGTATGATCAAATGTTACAAGTGGGCCGAATGGCAAATGCTATCGACATGGCGAGCTTGTCAATGGAAAAGCCTTCATAGCTTGCTGAGCCTTGCGGAGCTGAGTAGGTACAGCACGATGGAAAAGGGGGATCAGGACACTAGTCTCTGTGAACTTTTATCTTCAAATTTAGCCTGATCAATTACATTTTTTTTTTGTTGTTTCAATCTAATAGCTACAAAAAACAAAGAAAGGGTATCTTCCTATGGGAATGACTCGGGAATTTAACTTTTTCTGCCTAATTGAATGGACAAACCTTCTTGGTGGAAAAACAATCAACTTGTTCATCAAATGGATTTTCACGGCTGAGCTGTGTACACGAAGGAGGCAAATGATCACGCGTAAAGCCAAAGACAAAACCATAAAAGATAAGATTAAAAGGAACGACAAAAGATGGCGCATGGAGGGTTCTTGAAAAACACGGTAACATGTGAAACACAAAGGAGGAAGTCAAGGTGGAGAGGAGGTGAATCACAAAACTCCCCTCAAGAAACTCATTCCACAGTCAATGTCTGCACACGTGCGTGATGATGACTGGCCTACCTTTTTAGGAGAGAACACCCCCAAAGTGCCTCCATCTTCGCGGATTGCCACGCCCATTTCAGCAAGTAATGCCTCCCTGTAAAGAAGGCACAGCAGGTACTATATATAATCTTTGTGTCTTGCACTATGGCACACAGAATACACAATGTCATGATGATTAGCTTGCATCTATTAAAAACAATGGATGAAATGTCACCATGTGCAAGATACGTTGAATGTAATGACACCAGAGGTTCAATAGAGCTTAGCGTGTATTGGTTGGAGGACTGACTATGGATTGACTGGCTATGTGCCTATGTGATAGTGACCTCTCCATGCGGATGGCCTCGGTCTTTCGTAGCTTCTCTTCCCAAGTTTCATTGAGCTCTGCAATGATCTTTTCAGATTCCTAAAAACACAAACAGAAAAAAAAGGCAAAATGTGAAACGGTTTACAGGCTTAAACGCCGATCCCAGTTCATCTTGTACTTCTACGTCTAATGTCATGTTTACATATGGATCACAAGGGTAAGCGGTGGGTTCACAAACACTAAAATAGACCAGTATATGCCTCACTCCAGGAGATAAAATGGAATTACTCAGGAGCTATTTTTGTCCACCTTCCTCCATATCTGCGTACGGGCTTGACGTCATTTGATAACAGTCAGAGTGGGCACTGTGGTTGTCATGGCAACTGCAGCCAGAACTATTTGGGTGATTGCGCTGCTCTATCAACAGTTATATGAGCGGTTTGGGATTGACGGGGGAAACCACCGGTGCTTTGAAATGACATAACATGAAATGACATTTAATTTGAGGAAGCTTGTTAGGTTGATTGTTTTTAGTGATCATACATTTGCAATTTATTAATGATGAATTGATTATGCTTGCAATGAAGAACGCTTATGCCTGCAATGAAGAACGCTTACGCTTTTAATAAATATATAATTATACTTTTAATAAAAATAAGCTCATATTTATAATAAAGAATGCATAATGCACTGCGTGACGGTTGAGACGCAACCACCTTTCTGAGAAAGTGGTTGCAAAGAGATAAGTATTAAGACTAAACAAGAGCAAGGTCGGACGTGGATGGAGTTGTCAACACCAGCTGCAACTTGGTGTTTTTGTAATGATTGCACACATGTATGTAATTTTCACTCACATACACACACATAGTCAAACAAGTTCAGTGTGTCTTCAACAGCCCTCACCCTTTAGGTTGGACACACCCATGTATTAGATTCCCAATGAGAAATAAATGAGAGGGCGAGCGGGGAGGTCCTTGGGTGACGTGCAGAGAACTGAAGCGTAACGCTTCTCCTCGTTTCCCCCTCGAGTGATTGGTACCAGAATCCAGCGTGTCCTCTCCTCATTGGGTCTTTTTTATGAATGTCTAATTGATAACCCTGACAAAGATTCACCGTACATTGTGTAAATATGTATTGTTTTGGACAACATAAAGATTGTGTAGTTTAAAATTTTACTACTTTATTCAAAAAGGTCTACTACACCTCATACAAGAAAAAAATGCATGTTTACTGTACGTTAAACCACTCCGCTCCGACTTGTAGACTTCAGTGGCACGATGTAGCCCCAGAGGCATGCTTTACCTTGAGTCTTTCAATAGCTTCCTCTCCCCCGGGGGTGGACATGATCCGCTCCTGTATGCTGGTGGCGGACTGCAGGGCCCCCTGGCTGCACAGTGAGCCAGAGGATGGAGAGGCTGTCAGGGAGCCAATAGGGGCTGTGGAGAAATGGCCAGGGCGTTGGTTCTCTGAGGCTATCAAGTATCTATTCTTATTGTTCTGAATGTCTTTGAGGTCTGAGCCGACAGCAAGAGGGAAAGAGAGGTGGGCCAGGATGGGGTGGGGAGGGGTGATAAAACATGAAATGAAAGGAACAAAATAGAACGTCAGGAGAGAGGAAGAAACGGAGACAGGGAAAGTGGGGGACAAAAGGAGGGAAGACCAATGTGAGACACACATTGTACCGAGTTAAGACAAAGGCACACCATAAAAGCTACAGGAAAGCAGTTTTCACAGAATATACAGTGGCTTCGTTTCTCCATCTGCTCTGACTGTTTGTAAAGCGAGTCAAAAACATCTGCATCTCCCTCTGTACAGCTCCTGAAAATAACTGTTCCTTGTACGCATATTTGTCTGTGCGAAAACTGCTATCCCTGTATCAAAGTTAGCGTGGGCGCCAGATTGACAATGCAAGATGGTTCAGAAGGCAAATGACATTTGATGACATGCTGCCCATGTTCAGACTGCAGTTCATCTCACACAGCCACACACACACTCAAGCTATCACTTATCCCTCATCCACATCATGCCAGAAGCACAACAATCAGTCCAAATGTCAAGATAACCAAAGAGAAAACACATCACTTTCCTTTTTTAAATGAAGGTGGATGACGTAAACACTTTTGCATCAAGGGCCACATATTCAACTACACAACATTTATGGAGGACTTTGGCAGTCCCAAGAGCCGAATTAGATTTTTGTTTTTAATTCCTTAACAATCCGAACACATTAACATGGAATATTAGTACAATGGAAAAGTTATAAGGGAAGGAGTGTTAGGAATACAGCATAGCGCAAACTAACAAACCAAACTACTCACTTTAGGTTAGTGGAATCTGATCAGGCTACACACAATTTCTATTTAATGCACCTTTTGGTCTGAAGCTCTGAACCTCAGCTTGACAACTGAGCAGTGGCATTCTAAAGCTTTGAGTAGTGTCACCTGCAGTGGACGATTAGTAAGAAAATAAATCAATACAAAGAAACACAACTATTCAAAAAAAGATGTGAGAATGTGAGTTATGGAATAGCATGTATACGGGAGACTCGCGTGAAAAAAGGACACTCTTAATGGTCATTTGGGACCCTGCGATTGGCCAATTTCACCGACACAAGCACAGGCTAAGCTAATAGCATGCTAACCATGGCCAGACCAGCACAGCGAGGGAAGCCTTGCATTTCTATTCACATTTAGCACTTCCAAATTATCATGCAAAGCTGGTAGCAGTTTTAATTAAGGCTGGGCGATATGGCTATCTAAAATAAAGTCTTTCGGATGATCATACAAGAACCAAAAAAAATCAGTCGACATTAAATCAACAATTACCATGATATTTATTTTTGGGGGTAAAAAGATAAAAAGATATCGGTATGAAACTACTCCATCAGGAAGCGCGAGTTAGCGGTCTTGAGCAACCGTGTTGGAATTGGGATAGCAGCTAGCATTATAGTCTCAACAAAAGAAATGGTCACAATAATTAGGCGTTTAGTAATTATGCATTCACAGTAAGTGATCTTTAAGAATTATCCTAATTTTGTGGTTTAATTGTAGTAATTGAGGTCAAAAGCAGTACATGACTTGGTGCTGCTTGAAAAAATAACTGATAACGCCGTTGTTAAATCCACATAGTCCATTTTTGAAAAATTCCCATCCCAAATCTAACTCTGCAATTCAAAAAACTGGGGAGAAAAAAAATCCAATGGCTTGGTTTGAAATGATGACTATTTGACATATAGTGTTCATTGAAATTAATGTTTGTTTGCTTTTCTGGCAAGGGGGGTTCTTTTTTATTTGGTTGCTATGACAACTTCAATCGCTGTTAAATTGTTGTTAAAAAATACCCTACTAACTTCAATATATCGCCCAGCCCTAGGTCTTAAAGCAAAGTTCTCGTAACTGCTAAAGGGCAAACAGTGAAAACGGTGCATGGCAACCAGACATATACAAACATTTGATTCCACTTCCTGGGCAATCATCCCCCAGAGGATCAACTGAGGGTAAGAAGGAAAAGATGAAAGGGGTCAGAGTTCAGAACAGGTAGAATGGTAGGGAAGACGTTTTAGACATTATTGGCTGAGTAGAATGAGAATGGAAACAACAACGACAACAAATGGTGACACGGGTCTGGTTAAATGCAAAGTCAGAAATGAGCAAGTTACTGTAGGCCCAGTTTGTACCTCTTATGGAATCAAGAACCTAAGTGTAACTGTAGATTTCCATTGTTTGTCACACAGAAAGAAATACACCAGTATTTACAGTCATTATTTGTGAGCATACTTGCAGAATCTGCAGACTGGACTCAACAATATTGTAACTGGGAGCTATTTGAAGCATGACTGCACACCAAAAATGCAATTGGGTTGAAAATCCTTTTTAGTTAGTGATCATTGTAAGAGAGTTCAATCACTGCCCAGTGATGGCTATGCTATAGACAACTATGTGGCAGAAAAAAAAAACAGAAATGAGATGATAAGAGAGTGAGGCCATGCTGTGTGGAATGTTGACGTAACACTCACTGTCCAGGATGTCTCCCAGTCCTTGTGCACGCAGCAGCTCCTTCAGTCGGGCCACTTCATCCTTCAGGTCACGCACCAGCTTATTGTTAGGATCCTCATTGATGACAGCATTGCATTTGATATTCTTGGCTCGATCGGCGTAGCTATAAATCATTAAGAGCAGATTGGAATGATCTGGAATTATTTATAACAATGTCCAGCAGGACGAGAATCTTACCGCAGTGTGCTCAGAGTTTCATCATAATTGATATCAGCAGGACTGAGGGCAGCAACCATTGCAGTTCTGGAATTTCCGCCTATTAAAAAAATATATGCATAAACCTCAAGACATTTTTGGAAGACAAAAATGAATAAATCTTTATTTTCATCGATTCCCAAAAAGAATAGCATTTCCACCCGACTTTGTCATTTATGTGAGGAAAATGACATTAGCATGCTGGTCCATTGTTTTTGTTCCATTTTCATAACTTGTTGATTATATGTACTTTATTTTATATATAGTGCATAAACACGCCCAAATCATTAAGACACATTGTAGATCAATGTAATGCATATGAGGAATGTCCTCCACAATCACTTCTGTATCACCGCATACAAAATGTGTACATTGTTTTGTTCAAACAATACAATAAATACAATACAATACATCAAACAAATGTTATTCAATCATTTCACTGCCAAGTGATGTCAAACAAATTCGTTAATTTCCATACCAAGGTTCTCCCTCAAGAGCCATGTCAAAACGGAGTCTCTGTATGGGATGAAGTCTGACTTCTTTTTCTTCTTGCTCTGAAATAAAAATGCAAGTAGCCTTTTCAGGTGGATGACGATTTTTAACAAGGGTGTGGGATGACAATAGTGATGGCAGTGGATTGTACAATATGATGCATGATGAGAAAACATAAAGCCACTTGAAATCCTTTTTGCCAAACAGTTGAAGACCTCACAGCCCATGGAGACTGAATGCACAGAAATATATTACAGAAACCAAATAGGTCTGCAATGTTAAAAAAATAAAAAATAAAACAATTAAAAAAAAGTCGTAGTAGTGTAGTAAAAAATATCTTAATGAAGCGCACACAGAATGTCAACACTACATATTACAAAAGGCAGTCAAATCTGGACCATGGGATGAATCAGAGGTTAATGATTGAGCTGCCAATGGGTTTACCTTGCTGGTACAGTTATCCTGTGTAAGCGGGTATTTACAAGGACGGGAGAAAAGACAAGGGCAGATATTACAGCGTGCCAGACAAAAACAAAGGGAAAAGAAGAGCAAAATTAAAACAGACAAGACACTCACCACTTCAGCCAGGGCAGAGATGACCTTTCCTAACGTGGTTAGGGACTTATTGATGTTTGCTCCCTCCTGCAACCAAATAAATATATTACGCATGTAGCAACAAGTGAAGCCATTTACACTCTTATTCTGTCATGCAGAAATCAAGTCTTACCTTCAGCCGGGTGCCTTTAGCTCCAGTGGAATCTGCTCTTTCACTTCCTGCCAAGTCCACAAGACTAATTTTACTGACCTGAAAGTGGAGCAGAAGCAAACAATGAAATGTATATACTGTTGGACATGACCATAACAAGTCAAGCTGCAGCTGGGGAGAATTGTGTTCATGCAAAATACAATGTTCTTTGTGCCGGAGGAAATGCTATCACAAAGCAATCTAGGCCAAAATAAAATTAAGAAACACTCACAAAAAAAAAAAAAAAAAAAAAAAAGTTCACATTAGTGGTGCTCCAACAGATCAGCCATCCATTGTGATCGCCATATGCCTTTCATCGCCGATCACAAAAACTGATCACCAGCTGCTCGAACTTTGTAGCCTGCAGCCAATGAAAGACCAGCCTGTGTGCAGCGGAATCGTAATACATGCTTGTGCATTTTCTGCACTGTCAATTTGAAATAATGTCCTACTCCTGTACAATAAAGGGATGGAGATTTCAAGAGAATTATTTTTTTTAATCTAAAATAATCATTAGTGAGCAGGTCTAATATTGAAAAATGGAAAGTTAATCCATGTGAACGGAATCAGTATCGGTCGATCTCACTCAGGATTGGCAGCATGAGTCCCTGAGTGGACCACCCCAAGTTTGTGTGTACAAAAAGGGCGACACCGACATCCATTTACAACTGTAAAAATGGTGAGAAAGGCCCCAGAGTCTTGAGCGGTGCCTACTTTTTCAGTGGAAAGGTCTGTCTCACTGTCGTGTTTTCGCTGCGTGAAGACAATGGTGAAAACTGCATGGGACCTGCTGCTGGTCTCATTCATGTTGGTGGCCGCCACAGTTCTGTAAGCGAAGAGAAACAGTCATAATTATGTTCCTCCAAATGCCATGAAGCTTTGTTTGAATATTCAAATGCAGCTTTGAAATTATTGTGCACACAACAAAGAAATCACGGGGCTTTACACCGATTCGAGTGACTGCAAAATTAGGGATTATTCTGCGTGGCGGAGGTGGATAATACCATGAAGACATCAGACACAAACATACATTGCACACTGGGAGGGCTTATTTCGAGTACATGGCGTGTAAAACCCATATCTCCTCCTGTGACTGTCCCTATTGAGTCAGCAGCGTAGGAAGATTAAGGCAAGGTTCACTCCTCCCAGCAGGAAATCGCACAGTGACACAAATACACACGAACACGCGGACACTACCATATTTTTCGTGCTATAAAGCGCACCTAAAAGCATTCAATTTTCTCAAAAATTGACAGTGCACCCGATAATCCAATGCGCCTAAAATAAAGAGACTGTAACACTTTTTAAAATAGGCCATATAATCCGAAGCACCTTATAGTGCAGAAAATACGGTAATTCAATGCAAGTGACAACATGAGTCCGTGAATGAGATGCACTCAACAATTGAAACAAAGGTTATTTTTAGGAGGCATGTCATTCTCATAACGAGCTTCAAACTTTGAAATTAGCAGGGAATTTGTGGTTTTGCTTGCAATTTGATGTTCTTTGAACAATACTATATAATAACATAAGAAAGTGAGATAATAACGAACTTCCGCATTCCGTTTACTTCTGAGACATCCGGCAACTTTCCTCCAAAATATAATTCCACTGATCTGATTACACACCTGGCCTTATTGCCCGCATCCATGAGGTCAGCGATGTCTGTATAGGAAGTGACGGCAAGCTTGGAGAGGTCCTCTACGTAGGGGCCCAAAAGCGGATGCTCTCTCACCCGGAGATTCCCTTTGTTCTTGGGATTGAGCAGATCTCGCACCCGCTCACAGTAGATCTCCATGTAACTGACCTGCAGACAAGGGCTTATAGTCAGTTCCTCGTCCAAACCTAAACGCGTTGATCATGTACGGTCAGGTCCATTAATATTTCGATTTTGACACAATTTTCAGCAATCCATCTCTGTACAACACAACAATGGAGTTCAAATCAAACAATTAAGATGCGCTTTAACCCTTTCAGGGACAGCGTTTACTGCAGTGGACAGCTTATCATGTTATCAGGTTTCAAAATGCATGAAAGGTTGAATTGCAGACTGAGCTTTAAATTGAGGGTATTTAGATCCAGATCAGGTGAACGGTGTAGGAATTGCAACACATTTCATATGTGCGTCATCTTTGTAAGGAACCGAAATGAATTAGCTGACAGGAACCTATACAAGGCCTGGAGTTCATTTCAAGTATGATATATCTATTTAGAATTTGGTGAGGTCATCTCTCAACATGAAGTCCAGCATAACTTTCACGTCATCAATCATTAGACAATAACCTGAATGTTTTTAAACATGCCTACCAGTGATAACAGTATTTATTTCAAATATAAAATGTTGTTTTTGGTCAAATGCAAAGTTCCAGGTTATTCAGCACAGCAATGTTTCAAGACAGTTTATAGGTTGTAAAGAACTGACAATAGTCATTTGTTGAATTTGGAGCATTAGGAGGTTGCATTTGCTGAAAAGCATTTCAAGAGGTTCAAATTACATTTCTACATGGGACCTCTTATTTGCCACTTTGCAAGTCTTGCGTTCATTTAACATGTGAGTTTTTGCAGATTGTCTTCTTGAATTCATTTGCAGAATATCAGAATGACCTCCCAAAGCTCCCAAAGTTTGGATGTGAACTACCCCTCACCCTCATGGGACAAATGAGGGTTTGTCAACTCCAACATGTCTTGACTTCATTTCAGATTAGGCTGACATTAGTGCTCTTTCTCATTAAAAAGGCGAAAAAAAACATCTAAAGACTGGGATGATATCAAGTGTCAATCATTGTATTTTGGTGCTTGTTTTTCATTGTACCTTTTATGGCTTTGCCGAAGCCGGCCCACCGTTACTTTGTTGATTTTTTAATCTGTTATGAGCCCCAGCGTTATGGGACATCCTCATGCATGATCTTTCTTCATAGTTACGACAAAGCTGAGCGTGCCTTTGAGGCCGTTTGCCTCAGTTCTGGAAAATCCTACCACAACATCCCAGATCTGCCAACTCGACAGCATCCTTTTAATGTGAATCTACAATTATTTCCCAAGAGAAATGTTGTAGGGAAATAAAGATGCCATATTTTGACATTCATATTACAAAAGGCAGTTTAAGGCTACTGGTGGGAAAGCCAATGTCAAAGTAATAAGATGACAGATGAGAAAATAGCCCTGAGATTTACCTCTACAGAATAGGAGAGCTCCTCTTTGTTGCTATCCTCGTTGATTTTCTCAAACAGATCCTCACAAAGCTGAAAGAGAGATCAATGCAGCATCTTGGTACTAACAGCCCATCGAAAAGTATTTGCGGAAAACAAAAATGTAAGCATTTGGCACATTAATCAACTCAATTAAAATAAATACATGGGTAACTCCACTGTCACTAAAGTAGCACTGAGGGACAAACCATGGGAATGATTCCCTCCTGGCCTTCCTCCTGTTTGCCCATCATGGTGTAGGATTTGCCAGCTCCAGTCTGGCCATAAGCAAAAATGCACACGTTGTAGCCCTCGAAGGCGTGCTGCAGCATTTCCTTGCCAATGTCATTGTACACTTGGTTCTGCGCAGCAAAGCAGGGGTCTTCCGGCTGCAGTGGAACAAAGGACAGAATGCAGAATATGTTAAAGTCCCTATAAAACATATTCCTTTATTCGCCATCATATTAAAAAAGAAGAAAAAAAGAAGAAAAAAAAAGGCTCCACTCACCGTCGTGTGGGACCAGTAGGAGTAATCAAAACTGAAGGTTTTTGCTGGTTCTTTCGGGGCTTTGGGGTTGAGGATAGCTGAGGATAAGGAACAAAGTTATGTGTTAAGGTGACTTTCATTGTTTTGCCGCTCAGAACACGTTATGGAAACATTTTGAAAAAAATCCAGCTACAAAGATAGGGCTTCTGTTGAATGGCCCCAAGTATAGCTTTCCTCTACTGGAGCATTGGAGGGAGGGTGGCTGGGGGGTTGGGGGGTCTACACCTGCTGTAGCTGCCATAGACCTGATGACACTTGACTTATGCACGACTGGAGTGTTTCCTATGGCCACACAGACATTTCCCATTGCACGAGAATCTGCAACTATGCGTGGCATTTCATCCCTCTCAACCATGCTTGCTGCGACGCGTGGGCACGCTATTAAAGCTTTCCACACACTGAATGCAAGACGAAAAGAAAAGAAAGCATGCCGTAACTGAGAATTTACTGGAGGACATTTGCAGACATCGATATCTTGGCCGGCTCAATACTTTGCAATCCTCTTCTCTATTAAAATGGATGTTAGTCTTTCTTGTGTGCCATCCGCTGGCAATGTAAACATGAAGGGGTGGTGGATGACATGCATGTGCAAAGAAATAAGGTTTGAAAGACTAAATGCACTGGGCCTAGCAACAATGCAAACAGCAACTATTGTGAGCTAAATAAATCTCCAAATGGATGCTTCCAGTCTGCTTCTTGTCATGTCTGTGAGCAACAACGCCAATGCAACTTCTGAGCTTCGTTCACGGGCAAATTAAATCCTCGACTCGCGCTTCGACTTTCGGACACTGTAGAGGCTTTTGCATCACGATATCCCCATCAGAGTACTCGTAGGATTCAGCACGCTTATCAATAATGCAGGAGACGTGGAGAGACGGGGGCTGGGTGTCACCTTCCATCGGTCACATACTGACAGAAAAGCACAACATGTCCTCAGACACCAATACACTGACAGCCTCATGCAAAATATGTGACAATTCAGTAGCACTCCCTAACTGAGGAGCCTAAACCCCAGTATAGGTAGAAAAGCGATTCATTTCTGAGCGATGTACATAAAATCATTGATTAAAATTGTGGATGAGGGAGTGCACGACTTGAGTGCAACCAGCAGTCGAGTCGGCGTGGTCGCTGTCTAAAGAAAAACATGGCAAGCTTTGTGATGTTTCGCTGCACCGATATACCTGTATGAACTCTGCTCGTGCTGTGGCATATGGACACATAGATATTTTTCATTTTTACATCCTGAGAAATAATAATGAAACAGATAAATTTTTCACACAGAATTAATGGCAATGTTATCATGCTTAATGTAATGTCTATTTATGTGATTTAACTTTCCTTGTAAGGGAAATTTAGTAAAAGGCCCATCCATGCAATCTACCGACAGATTAAGGTACAATAGCAGAGTGGAAGCTTCCACATTGGTTCCTGAAAGAGGATACAGTGGTACAAGTGGCTAAATAAAGCTAAAAATTCACCTTTGACCTGCCTTCAAAGGGGAATTGGAGCCCGGGTATTTACAAACGCGAGGGTGTTTTGGTAACCAGTGCGCCTCCGTTCCCTTTTCCTGGAACAATTTACTCTTGCAAACAGGGGGCAGCTTAAGCGATGATTTGAACACCCATAAAACAGAAAGACGACGACAATAGCGTGGGATGGCGATGACAAGCCAGCAAAATGAGGGGACCATCCAGTCATTCTGATTATCACACATGACGTGAACCCTCTATTGTTGAGCAAAAATGATTTGTCTTCGTGTTTTATTGACGTTGAAGAAACTTTTCTCAGAAGCAGATCATAGGAGACTGCTCATCACCGGGAGGTGAACCATGTTTGGAAAATTCCTTGAAGGCCATGCTCCCCTGCACACAGAAATTTGTCTCACACACACGGTCCGGCCGGTCTATCAGTAAAGCTCTCAAGTCGGGCTCCAACTAACAAATGTTAACACTCGATTTATTTGTCGATGATGTTGTCAATTAATTGATGAATATGATTTTAACGAAAGAGTTTTAATTTCCACCCTTTCTCCATGTTTTATTTTGATTCAATGCCAAAATAATTTTTATGGCAGACTACAGGAATGCTGAGCATTTGGACGCTTTTTTTTAGTAAAACAAGTATCCAAATGATTAATCGATGATCAAAAATAATTAGTGATTAATTAGATAATCTGTTAGTTGTCGACTGACGATTAATTGTTGCAGCTAAACTCTCAAATGAAGCTACTTAACAACCACAAATATAGCCGTATTAATGCCTCGATTTGCTCCCAGCAAAGAAAGCTCAAACGTGGCACGTGTACGAAGATTCCTTCCCGACTTCTACTTCAATATTCCTTTTGTCGACCTGTTGAATTTTAGTGTTGAAAAACAAGCCAGAAGGAGGTGAGATTGTGTCGATGTGTTGTGAAAAAACAAAAATGGAAGCCTACACACGAACAGTAAGCCATGCAGCAGAATGAGAATGAAACGTTCCCTGTTTTCAATTTATAATAAATATTCCCAGGAGAGAAAATCTTCCTGAACTTAAAATGGCAGACGAGTCTGCAGTGTAATCAACGCCGTCATCACACGTCTTTCTAAACCATGGCAACAGGTACGGAAGCAGCTACTTGTTGCCATAACAACTTCCACTTGGCACAAAGAGGGAGGATGCAGCACGCTGTTCTCTGTATTCTGTTTCTTCAACTATTTCCCCACAGCTGTTTAGATGACAGTGTACAGAAAACAAGATTAAGACTAATAATGTAGCAACTGCATGAGTGCAATTTCAGCATCGGAATACCCATCATGTGAGAGAGAGTGTAGATATTTTGCTTCAAAAGCCACTGAAAGTGTCAAACTATAAGGATTCTTACAACAACTTTCAAAATGCACAAACCACACAATAGTATTATAACCGGTAAGCACCAAGTCTACACACACACACACACACACACACACACAAAAAACCCCCATCTCGTGATGGCGATTGTTCAGCCCAAAATTAAACATATTACAACCCAATAAAGCGCACATACACACACACACCCACACACACACACACACACACACACACACACACACAAAAAACCCCCATCATAACTGGGTCAGCATCTGATTATCAAGAAAGACTTTACCCGCAAGACATAAAAGGATGGCAGGCAATGAACAATGAGACGAGTCATTGAGCAGAGAGGAATTCACAGCAGAAACACCATTACAGAGAAGGCCTAGTCAAATATTTATTTGCTCCTAAATGTCACTGATCCAGATTTTCGCTTCCTGATGAGCAGGATAAGTTGGACAGGTTGTTATTGCTCCATGGGCGCTTACCATTTTATGATGAGGTGCATACCTGTTAACTATCCACATCCTGCTAGCTAGAGAAGACCACTCGTAACCGGCAGATATGTTGCACTACGGCATTCAACATGGGGCCAGTAATCCGGCCAGAGTGAAGCTGCCTGCAGTAATATGGTTGTTAGAGGGTCTCTGCACACCAGATGGGGACTAAAAGCTCGGGCCATTCGCTTGAGATGAGAAGGGGAATTGTCCTGCCTCTCCCACTTGGGAATCCAAACATCTGGACAACATAGATTGGCAGAAAATTCTTACTATTTATTTATTTATGTATTTATTTATTTATTTTTGCAATTACAGGCAGCAGGTGAATGTGTATGTGTGTGTGTCTGTGTTTGTGTGTTTGTGTGTTTGTGTGTTTGTGTGTGTGTGTGTGTGTGTGTGTGTGTGTGTGTGTGTGTGTGTGTGTTGGATTCAAATTAGCACGTTTGTCCTTCAGTCCCTGGAATGGTACTTAGCCTCCCTGCGGCCTGTGCAAACCTGAACTGCATGGTGATGTAATGGCTCACCTTGGAAGAACATCGATGCAGTTCTCATGCAGTCTTGTAGGGTGCCCTTTTGCCAAAAAAAAAACCCAAAACGTCTTGCTCTTTCCACGAGCAGCCAAATAGCGTTGTATTATGAGCAATGCAAATGCTCACTTTGACGCAACACAACTGTCCATCATAACAAACAAAAAAAGTTGCTAACACTGTGGCGATCCTTGAAAAATCTTAATATAGTGTCACTGCATCAAGAAAACCCATGTACAGTATCGCCACTTGATGATGATTTTGACTTTTTTTTAACATTAGTGAATTCTCTATTGTCTCTTGCATGTACTGATAACAGTATGTAGCCTAAACAACCAATGAAAACAAGTTCATAACGGCGGGTTTGTAAAGTCTACTCTATCTATATTTGCTGTCAGGGCTTTCCGAAATTATACCGGAGCTTTAGGCCCCACCGCCTCCATTTACTTTGTAATAGAGCCGAGCGATGACAGACATCCTGTTGAAAAGCCAAACGGTCACTTGTCTTAATGAACCAACTGGTCCCAGCCTTTGACAAGAATTTGAATGTTTTGAGCGGATGACTGACTCCACTACATAATGGTACAGTATATTATAAATCCGCTGAACTGATGTGTACATGTCAAAATTAGACGGGTAACATCCTTTTATTGATCCAATTAATTTATTGCATTGAGTTATAAAGCTCTTGATGAAAATGTGACATTGTACCTTGCTCATCATGACAAGCAGAGAGATCCAATTAAGTTACAAATATCGCTTTGTCACAGAAAGCCGTAATTACATCGACAAGACTTCAAACTATGACAACGCGCACACAAAACTTCGCAGTGACAGCTGTGGAAAAGATAAGGTATGATGATGGTGATAAACATGTCAAATAGAAAAAGTCATTTGTGGTATCTGATGTACTGCTCCTGAAAAAAAAAAAAAAATGCGGCATAAGTGCATGTCGTCAGACGGCCACAATATGTCTGTTACTGGAGTGTTACTCGCCCTTCCCAATGAGATGAGTATGAGTGAGACTATAGAGAGAGCTACATCAGAAGAGGACAACATTTAGCCATTAAAAGGAGTGCAAAAGAACAGCCCCAACCGTACAGCATGTGTACAAATGGCTTCTCTGTGTGGCTATGGGTGATCAGGGATATGGACATCTCCTGACCAACCCACATACCCCTG